CGGCCCGTGCCCCCTTGCGAACCCAGGGGGAGGAGGTGGGGGGAGGGACCAAGCTACCTACCCCACGCCGCAAGCTGTGGCGCTCACTCCCGCCCGCCCTCCCAACGCATCATCCGAGCCTGGGACCCCGATCCCACTGAGTTCATCATTCCCGTCGCAAGCGTAGTGCCGACCATTCATTGAGAAGGGTGCAGCCCGAAGCACCAACACCAATTCACACATCGTTTTTTCTGTGACGCCGGTTGCCCAGACACGTTGCGGAACCAGTTTTGTTCTTTATATGTTTTGGTTTCAGCTTGTTTGGCGGATGTCCCTGTCCTTGTCGGCAGCTGATGCCACGTGATCATGGGGCGCCCGCGCAGTGTCCAGATTTTGCCGCAGAGTGTAGTTCGCGTTGCGTTTTGACAGGGGTGGTATGCCTGCGCTGAGCAGACAAGATGAGGGCACCCCCTGCCGCACCTGTCAAAAGCCACTACGAAGTGCTCATGGGGCGCCCGCGCACGGTCTACTGCCGTAGTGTGATGGTTGCGTTGGTTTGCCCGCAGCCTGAATGGGGTTATTGTTTTCTTTGGCCACCCTGCGCAGACCTCACCCCACACCCCCTTCTGCTCCTCATCACCATCGCGGCATCATCATCGGGAAGTCTATTGCGGGAGCCTCGTGTGTGAGCGAATGGTAAGGAAGTCTCAGGCGGGAGCCCCCTCCCTATGGGGCCGCCAGGTCATGTTAGTAATCCGAGCGGATCATCCTGGAGGAAGTCTCGAGCGGGAGCCTCGTCTGTGAGTGAATTGTCAGAAAGTCTCAGACGGGGCCCCCCCGCCAGATCATGTTAGCAACCCGAGCGGACCATCCCAATATTGTAATCGTCGTCATTGACGAAGTCTCGAGCGGGAGCCTCGTTTGTGAGTGAATGGTGATGAAGTCTTAGGTGGGAGCCCCATCCCTATGAGGCCGCCAGATCATGTTAGTAGTCCGGGCGGGTCACCCAAACCTTGCACTTGTCGTCACGTTTGGGCTCATGCGGTGTGGATATTAAGGAGGTCTCGAGCAGGAGCATCGTTTGTGAGTGAGTGGTGAGGATGTCTCAGGCGGGAGGCCCCTCCCTATGGGCCGTCAGGTCATGTTAGTAATCCGAGCGGACCATCCTGGAGGAAATCTCGAGCGGGAGCCTCGTCTCAGACGGGTCCTCCCCCCGCCAGGAGGTCATGTTAGCAACCCGAGCGGATCATCCCAATATTGTAATTGTCGTCACGTTTGGGCTCCTGAGGTGTGAGTCTGGAGGAAGTCTCGAGCGGGAGCCTCGTCTGTGAGTGAATGGTGATGAAGTCTTAGGTGGGAGCCCCCTCCCTATGAGGCCGCCAGATCATGTTAGTAGTCCGGGCGGGTCACCCAAACCTTGCACTTGTCGTCACGCTTGGGCTCATGCGGGTTGGATGTTGAGGAAGTCTCGAGCGGGAGCCTCGTTGGTGAGTGAGTGGTCAGGAGGTCTCAGGCAGGAGCCCCCTCCTGATGGGGCCGCCAGATCATGTTAGTAATCCGAGCGGGTCGTCCAAATCTTGTAATTGCTACTTCTGCTGGGTTCCTTAGGCGTGGATCTGGAAGAAGTCTCGTTCGGGAGCCTCGTCTGTCATTGATGTGTGACGGAGTTTATGGCGGGAGCCCCCTCTCTATGAAGCCGCCAGATCATGCTAGTACTTCGGGCGGGCCTTCCCAATATTGTAATTGTCGTCGTTTTGGGGCTCCTACGGCGTGGATCTGGAAGAAGTCTCGAGCGGATGCGTCGTCTGTGAATGATTGGTGAAGAAGTCTCAGGCGGGAGCCCCCCCTCCTTGTGAGGCCGCCGGATCAGATTAGCAACCCGAGCGGGTCACCCAAACCTTGTAATTGCCGTCACGTTTGGGCTCCTCAGGCGTGGATCTGGAGGAAGTATGGGGCGGGTGCCTTGTCCCTGGGTGAACGGTCGAGAAGTTTCGAGCGGGAGCCCGCCTCCCTATGGGCCCCCTTCCAAATGACCTTCTTTGGTTGGGCTACGGCATCGGCATTTACTGGGAGATGTTGGGTCAATGCGCGCGTGCATCGCGACGCAAGGCGTCTGGGCGTGCCCGTCGTTTTCCTGCCGGCCGTGAACGAGTGCAGCACGATCCGTGGCGATTCCTACGCGGGTCGGCGCTTCCATATCGTCCCGACCATGCACAAAACGAGGGGCATCCGCGGCGTCGTACCCGCATGCGTCGGCATGGAGGTTCGGTTCACGGCTGCGCAGGAGGAGCTGACGCATAATTTGGGGCTCTTGCAGGAACAGCGGGCCACCATCGCGCCCTTCGATTTAAACCACGAGGACGAGCAGCGGTAGGGGGAGCGCGGACCAGGCCAGCTCTCCCGCCCACGCTTCCTATCACAGGGGGTATTGTTGCAGGTGCGCGGCTTTAAAGAGTCCGATATATCAGGAAGTCGCCGGGCTGCTGCTGCAGGGCGCCGAAGGCGCTTGCGACGACGGCCAGGCCGAGGCGCGGGTGCAGAGTTTGCTTATGTTTGGGCCTGGCGAGCAGGAGCTCGCGTGGTAGAGCTCGCGGCCGCGCGCTGCTCTTGGTTCGCCCTGGCGCGCGCGTCCTGCCGCGACTCTGTCGCAGGGTCAGACGCCGCTCCTTGGCGTCGCCGTCGACTGTGCCAGGGATGAGGGCGTTTGCCGCGCGGGCGCGTCGGGCGAGCAGCGGCGGCTGCGCCTCTACGTCACGTTCCCCCGGGCCGCGCGCGTGCGGAACGCGCAGATCCCGCGGCCGCCCTTGCGCGAGTTGCTGGAGCGCTGGCCGCTAGCGCTCTTGCGGAAGTTGTTTGAGGGTTTCGACTTCGCGGCGGCCTCCCAGGCAGAGGTCGAGGTGCTCGCCGCAGAGCTCGGTTTTGCGCTGCCTCCCGCCTGGGCGCTGCCGCGCTCCGCTCGAAGCCCGCGAGGCTGCCTCGACGTCTGGGTCTTGGGCGCCAGCGGCTCGCGGGTTTGTCCGCGCGGCGTGGTTCGCGAGGCTTCCTTCGGTAACTTCTCGATCTGGCCATCGGGGAACGCGCCCCAGAGAAAACCGATGTGCGCGCCCTTGCGTTATGAAAAGGGGAGGCGGCGGAAAGGGCGATGACAGGCAGGAGAGAGAGAGGGAGGCGCAACAAGGGGCGGAAGGAGGGCCTGCGCCAGGGGGAAGCGGGGGAATAGCGCAAAGGAGGCAGGAGGATAGCCTTTGCAATCGCACAAATGACGATGAGGATTACTTCCAGGCCAACCAGGAAAATTATCATGTGGTGTCCCACCGGGATGTCGGGGGGGGGGCCGCGTGGCCCCAGGTTCGTTGTTGGTCGGGTGGGGTGTGGGGTGTACACTAATAAGAAGCAGCGGTCAGCTACGTACTTTTTTTTGAAGGACGGTCGTCTCGCTCACTCCCACCCGCCCTCCCGCCACATAAGCAAACCCCCGGTTTCAGCAAGGGCCGCCGTCGACGACCATCGGACGAACGTGCAAACGCCAGCCGGGCGCACGACGCCCACGAAATGCGCCGCGAATGCCAGGGTTCCCCCACGATCCTTGCCAAGTAGCAATTCGGAAATCGTCGCGGGCGGTCGCACATAGTCGAATATTATATTGCAGCGTGCGCGTGGCATCGTTTTTGTTTACGGATGGGTGGCCTGCGCACGCGGGGCACTATGATGGTACCTTTTTGTCGTTCTTCTCAAAGTGCACCGTATTGTGATCGCGGGTTGCCCGGCCATAACCCACATCCTACAACAAGCTATTGTTGTACAGTTCGCTGGCACGGATAGGGGGGTGTTGGCATTGTCCCGAGTTTGTCGGCGGTTCGTTGGGTGATGGGGGCTTCTATCAAGCTGAGCGCACTCGCGCCATATTTGACATATCCCCACGTCCCCACACACCCATCCCCTTCACATGGCGTTGTGTAAAAATATATAAGTATACACCTTACTGTAAATATTCGCCGACGCGTGTCATAGCGGACAGGAAGCTCCAAGTAGGATTCCGTCGTGTCATGCGCAAGTTGGGACACATCGAAACTGCGTATATTGGAGGAGGAGGTGGCGGATGAGCGACATGAGAAGGAGGGGGATGAGAAAGGAAAAGGGCGAGGACGAACAACACTGGAAGGAACGGGAAGAGCAGGAAGACCAGCAGGGGACGGCCAAGTAAGGAAAATGAGTTGGTTACAACAATGGAAAAGGACACGGATTCAGAAACGTGATTCGCGTTTGGGCGAGTCTGCCATTCCGAACAACGGTAGCCACACGCCCATCCGAGAATGAGTCCCACTCTGCAGCGGGTGCACCATGTTTGAAACATCCAAAGCAATCGGATTGTAAGACGCATGAGACAAATCCATGACATGCGGTGTTAAAACAAACCGCACTCGGAGAGGATCGAGGTTCTTCCGGACAGAGTCAGGGGAAAGATCTCGTTGTTCATAGGGAGCAGGCGTCAAGCTCGCTCTCTCCCACCTGCTTTTCTAACACATGCGTATCACCCGAGTCTCAGCATCAGGGGCCGCCATCCCGCCAGGTACGCGACCCCCGCAAAGTGCGCTGCGCGTCCACGGGCACACCCATCCTCTGATGAATAACAGTGTAGATGGTTCCGGGTCGCCCACGCATGGTCCAAGAGTAGTTCTCCACAGCGTGCGCTTCGAAATGGCTTCTGGCAGGGTCGGTAGGCCTGCGCACGTGGGGCAATTGATAGCACCATGACACCCCCGTCCTCCCTGAGAGCCAATACAGAGTGATTGATCGTTGGGCGCCCGACGATGGTCCAGATGTTGCCGCAGAGTGCATGCTGTATGGTTGTAGTATTGTTGGCAGGCACGCTGGGTAACGATGCCCCTCCCGAAGAGGAAGAAGGGGGTTGCAAGAACGAACTCGCTAAACCACTCACGCCCCAGAGGGCTGGTGGGAGTTGTTCTGTTCCTCTTTCTGATGGTGCCCTTCCTCCTCTTCCTCCTCCTCCTCGTGCCGAGGCCTCGACCTTCTTTGTCAGCATCTTCCCGACGCTGCAGCTCAACGTGACGCGGGACTGCGCGTGGTGGATGCGTGTGCTGCCGGAGGGCCCGACCACCTCCCGTGTCACGCAGGGCTTCCTCTTCCCCCCCTCGACGGTGGCCATGCCCGGCTTCGCCACCCTGCTCGAGCCCTACCTCCACCGGTGGGACCTCGCCGTGAGCGAGGACAACGAGATCTCGGTCAACCAGCAGCGCGCCACGGCGAACCCCATGCACCGGCCTGGGCCGTACCACCCCTTGGAATTCTCCGTGCACCGCTTCGACAACATGGTGCTGGACGCCGTCCTCGGCGCGGGCGATCCGAGGCCCGCCCTGGACACCCCCGGCGCGGCCGATCCCAGGTCGCGCCCCGTCCACGGCGCCACCGCCCCGGCGTCGCTTGCGCTGTCGGCAGCGCGGCATCGGCCGCCCCCAGCCGCCACCGCCGCTAGGGCGATCGGCTCGGCGGCCTCGGCCATCGCCGAGCCCTTCTCGCTCTCTCCTGGCGCGCGCGTGTGCGTGACCGGCGCGACGGGCTTCATCGCGCTGCACCTCGTCGAGCAGCTGCTCTCCAAGGGATTCCGCGTCACCGCCGCGGTCCGCAGCGACTCGGCGCAGAAGCTCGAGCCACTCATGGCGCTGGGCGCCCTGGGCGAGCTCGAGGTGGTGAGCGGCTGCGACCTGCTTGAGCCTGGCAGCTTCGACGCTGCCGTCTCGGGCGCAGAGGTGTGCTTCCACACTGCCTCGCCGTTCTGGATGGACGCCCGCGTCACGGACCCGTGGGCGCAGCTGGTGCGCCCAGCTGAGGCAGGCACGGTCAACGTGCTCGACGCGTGCGCGGCTGCTTCGAGCACCGTGCGGCGCGTCGTGCTGACGTCATCTTTCGCGGCGGCGATGAACGTGGGCGGTCGCACGCCATGGGCAATGGACTTCGAGTACACGGAGGAGCACTGGAACACGTCGTCCGCCCCAGACGCAGCGGGCGAGTTTCCCGAGCCCGTCAACGGGCACGCGTACCGTTGGTCCAAGACGGCGGCGGAGCGAGCCGCGTGGGATCACCCAGCGACGGGGACCAAGTTCGATTTGGTCACGATCATGCCGCCGATGGTGCTCGGGGAGAACAAGCAGCATATCCGCTCGCTGACGGACCTCAACCAGTCGTCCCTCCTGCTGTATCCAGCTGCCTGCGACGAGTCCCGCCACCGTGCCAACGAAGCACACTGTGTGGCAGCGCTTCGAGCATCACCCAGAAGGCTCGTCACTCTCGAGGTACTCGAGGAAGCTGCCTGGGTCGTTTAGAGGGTTGTCGCGGGCTCTCGTCGGACCCTTTTGGGGCCCTGGGCTTTTGGGTCGTCATGGGGCTTTCTTTGGCCGTCTCGAGCGGATTGGGGCACCTCGACCGTATGGGGATTCTGTTGAGGCTGTCTTGGGTGCACCTTGGAGCTCTCTTGGGACATCTTGGGGCCCTCCTGGTGTGTCCACCCTCTTAGGCCGTCTTGGGGTTACCTTGAAGCTGTCCTGGGCCGTCTGTGGGTCTTCTCGGGGCTCTCACTTGGCTCTTTGTGCTTCTCTGTGGCTCCTTCGAGATCTTCTTGGAACGCTCTTGAGCCGAGAGGCCAACAACACCCAACATATTCAACAACCATACAGGATCCCCCGCATGTTTGGAGTGATGTGGGCCTTCCTGGAGGGCCGATAGGCCTTTGTGCCTGTGATTTGGAAGCCTCTTAGACGCCTCATGCGCCTCGTGATGTATTAGTGAACGCTTCTGAGTGCTCTTTTCTGGCGGCATCTTGGTGGCCTTAGTGTCATTCCTGGGTCGTACAATATTGAACGCTTTGGAGAGCTCCTGGGAAGCTTTGGGCCGCCCAGGGGGTTCTCGGGAGGGGGTTCTCGGGAGGGGGGAGGGGGGGAGGCACGAAGGATCGTGTACGTGGGAGCCCGAGAGCCCTACCAGGCATCGCTTCGCATTCTGCCTCGCCTCGACGTGCCAGTGGGCACGGCGGCGGATAATCTGCTCGCCGGCATCACCCCACACGTGATGCCAGGCTCGGTTGGCTTCGTAGACGTGGCCGACGTTGCGACGGCGCACGTGCTGGCCGCGCAGACGCCGAGCGCGGGTGGCGAGCGGTACATGTGCAGCGGCGAAACGCGCACGTGGCTCCATGTCGTCAGCTTGTTGCGCAGTATTTTCCCCTCCGCGCCCCTTCCCACGGCCTGCGCCGACGGCTCGACCACGCAGCCGTGCCTGATGCTGCGCAACGACAAGATCCGCAGGGACCTCGGCATCGAGTTCACCCCGCTTGAGCGGACGCTGCGCAAGCAAGGGGACGCGCTCGCCCGGTCTGGGCTGATCAGCCTATGATCCGCCGGCCGCGGGCCCTGCAATGTGCAGTCGCGCTTGTGCGCTGCGGGCCGCGGCGGCGATGCCGGCGATTCCGCGCAGGACATCCACCAGAGCCCCCAGCCGCACTGCGAAAGAGCATGACAGCACGATTTTCAACACTGTGCATGCGTGCTCCTAACCCCCCGCCCAAACAAGGCGGTTCCAGCGATTCCTCTCGCTTCGCGGGCTGCAGGTCCAGGTCCAGACCGCCCAGAGTTTGGGCGTTTGGGGCACCCTAGGCCCGAGGAGATCTTTAGAGGCTTCTCGGGGGCCTCTTGGTCCCCTTGCGGGCCGTCCTCAGACGGTTTTGGGCCGTCTGGCGCCGTCGGAGGCAGTCAGTGGGGCCTTTTTCGGCAGTTTTGGGTTTTTTTGGGGGCCCTCACTGGCCGTCACGGGCGGGTCTCTTGGGCCATCTTCTCTCGGGTCCGTCTTGGGTAATTCTCGAGCCACCGTGGTGTCTTTTTTGGTCGGTCTTTGGGCCCTCTTGGGCCGTTTTGGGGCCATCCTGGGAGGCTTTGTGGCCGTCTTCGGGCAATCTTGGCGCTCTCTGATGCCATCTGCGGCCATCTTGGAGCCGTCTTGGGACCAACCAGTGCTGCTGTGGAGGCTCTCGGGGTCATCTTGCATAGTCTGTCAGCCCCTCGTGCGTGTTGGTGCATGAAAGTGTAAAGGACGTGGAATGGGTCGGGTTGGGCCGGCGGCTAAGACGGGGGCTCTGAGGAGGATGACGAGGGGTTGCATGGAAAAGTACAATCAGAGTGAGAGGATCGAATGGTCATTCATTGTCCCTGGGTGCGTTGTTGAACTGGGGTTCCGCGGTGCGGATTGTTGTTGCGTTGTTGTTGTTGTTGCTGTTGTTGTTGGTATTGTTGTTGTTGTGGTTGTTGTTTTTGTTGTTGTTGATGATGTTACTGTTGCTGTTGTTGTTGCTGTTGCTGTTGTTGTTGCTGTTGCTGGTGTTGTTGTTGTTCTTGCTGTTGCTGCAGTTGAGTTCTCATTTCCAAAGAATGCGTAATTATGGTTGATCCCCCCTGCGCGGTAGCCATTGGATTTTTCAATTAAGGTACTTCTCCCGGCCATTTTTTGAAATGTCTTGATTGTTGATCACCCCCCAAGCGGTGAACATCGCATTCTTACAATTGAAGTGCCTTACACGGGGCTCGCACCCTGTTTTTACCAGGGACAGTGAGGTGTCACCAAACTGGGCCCCTGGCCCCCAGTTTACAACATTTCCTCACATTTGTTTTGGACATCGCGCTCTCGCGCTGGACAACCTCACAATTTGTACCAGGATCGCGCTCTCGCGTGGGAGGAGGATGGAGCACGAGAGATGGAGTACGAGAGAGAGTACGGGGAGCATGGACCACGAGAGAGAGCAGCAGGAGGGGGGCGAGGAGCAGAACAGACGTTGCAGAACCAGATCGGGCGGGTAGACCCTAGCGGGCGGGTCGGGAACGCGGGCTCAAGCGGCCAGGTCGAGCAGGCGGGTTGCTGAGGCGTGAGTCCTGCATGAATCGCGAGGGAATGCCGAGCGACACCGCGATCCCCAAATAAATCGCGAGGAGGTACACAGTGAGAGCATGATTCTTAAGTGTCGAAGGCGCGGCGTCTGAATACATTGAAAGGAAGTCACATGCGAGGCGCGATGTTTGCATAACATGTGAGGAAGTCCCGCACGGGAGCGCGACTCGGGAATAAGTTGTGAGGAAGTATCCGGCGGGAGCCGCTGTTGTTGTGAACTGGGAGCCAGCAGCTAACTTCCGAGACCTATGACTTTCGCTGCAAAAAAACACGGTGCGAGCCTTGGGAAGGGCATTTCATTTGAAAAACCACAAGGTACCCTGGAGAGGACGGATCAACCATGTTTGTCATGCAGTAGCGAGGGCCCAACAAGAACAACACGCATGTTAATAATGCTCGCTCTTATACGCTCACATGCCATTCGACACGTATTTCCCAAACCCTCGGTACCCGCCGTCGTCGTCTTCGATCGTAGCCCCTTTGGGGGTATATCTTCCATACTTGCCGCGCGTACTTGGCGCAGCCTTATAACACAGGGGAAGAGAGGACGGACGGAAGGGGGGAGGGACGAGGATGGAACACGAGAGAGAGAGAGAGAGTAACAGGAGGTGGGGGCTACAAACAGAAAACATGTGGCAGAACCAGACGGGCAGATCGGGCGGGTAGACCCTAACGGGCGGGTCGGGAACGCGGGCCCAGGCGGCCAGGTCGAGCAGGCGGGTTGCCGAAGCGTGAGCAGGAATCGCGAAGAAATCTCGAGCGATAGCGCGGTTCCTGAGTAAATCATGACAAAGGCCCAGACACCAGCAGCTATGACATGACGAGAGGCGCACGCAGTAGCTCTGGGGCCGGCAGCTCCACTGACCCTCCGCGCGTCGCAGGACGACGCGGACGATAGGAGAGCAGCGTTGCGCCGCATCCTCCCCTGCCCCCAGCGGGAGCACGGCCGCGCGCAAGGTTGCCTGATTGGTCAAGGTTCGACAGTCAGATAAGCCTTCAAAATTTACGGAGCTACGATTTGACCACCGTGCTGCAAGAGCTGCGAAAGTTCCACTTACGCTGGCACCACGCTTCTGTAATAACCGAACCAAAGATGCGTGCGATTTTGTTGCGCATAGGAGTTCATGTCGTACGACTAAACATGGTAACAGGGGCAGTTGATTCTTGGCGTGCGTGCAAAGACTGGGAGAAACCAGCTCGTGTTGTTATGCCTTCGATAAGTCCCCCTGGCAAATTCAACTAGGGAGTCGAGTGCGATTTGGTGTTCTATATTCAACATTGCCTTTTTCACATTATCGACCGATGCGTTCGTTGGGCTGCACGCCAAGAGATTGCCGACAGGACGAAGCATGCGATATTCGGCGTGGATGCAGCACGGTCCGGCCGCCGCGTTATGCTCCGACGGTGAATGGGGCTCTGAACAACGATGCTGCCACAGCTATCCTGACGGCGACAGGCGCAGAACTTCGCATTCGTGCTCGAGGCGAGCACGCCACCGCCATCGAAGCACGCAACGGCATCATAAGGCAACCTTACACTTCATGGCAGAAGAACTAAAACGACACACCATACCATCGGTTTTTACACGACTACTGCACGAAGGACTATTTGACTGTATTGTTCTCGCGTTCTACAACGGGGCATATCCATGCCAAGCACTGCGCGGGCGACGACCGCCCTGTTTGCCAGACGTGCCGGTGCTGGACCACTAACAAGGGACGGAAACGTCCGATCCTAAGCGGGAACGGAGAATCAGAGAGATAAACATTGAGGCCATCACACAAGCCACTGCAGTAGTGAAAACTGATAGTGCCGCACGCGCAAAAATGACAGCAGCGGGACACCACAACGATCAGCCAGGGGATCTCGCGATTTACCACCGTCCGATCACTGCCAAGGACGATATGGGGCAGATGGAACGGACCATGGCCGATCGCCCGTAATTGTCCTGACCGTGGTCAAGCAGTAGGTCTGGAAGCCTTGGCACAGTGCCCAGACTTACGACGCGCATTGTATATTCAAAAATTAATGGTCCGCGATATCGGCTTGGACACTACGGCAATGCGAACAGTATGGGCCTTCATCGCGAGCTTGCCTGCGGAGAAACTTGCTATGGTCTTCGGCTACCTGCCGACCGAGCAGGAATACCCGCGAATGACGACGGCGAGTCGTCTCTCGCCCAAAGTGTACTTAGCCATGCAGTTCCCCATCAGCAACTACTTTAGGATATCAGCGCTGTCGCTGTACGTCTGGCTAACAGCATCCACAGGTTACCGGCAGCACACTGCGCTGACAGCCGTACCCTGGGAGTCTGTGATAACGACGTCGCATCATGATTCTACTACCACGAAACAGGAGGCATTGCCGTCGACATGCACGACATCACTGGCACCGCGCATGCACGAGTCACTCAGCGCTTAAAGTCATCAAAACCTTTGGCAGGCTTTGACGGGGATCTTTCATGGTTCGAGGACCTTTCGGACGCGCCAGCGACAGGCGGCCGCGCCCAAGAGGAGGACCGACCTCCAGCGGTAGACTACCGATTCTTGTTGAAGAGCCATAAACAAATCTGGAGGCGCGTGTCATGGGCGCGTAGTATGTAGAGCTCCAAGAGAAAACGGAACCATTTGAGACTCCGTCATGGGGGTCCTTGCGCGCGGTGCCTGCCGAAACTGTTGCCGCCGCGCGCTCGCGGCTGTGGCCGGTGAAGGGCGGGGGCACTTGCGAGAAATAGGTTGCGTTCGGAAGCGCGACGCCGACGAAACACGAGCCCGACTCGGACGACCACGGCCGGCATGTCGAGTTGCGCTTTACTGCTGACATGGCAAAGGTCGCTTTATCAGAGCAACATTACGAGGATTTGCGAAGCGACCAAATCACCGCAATGAGCGCATTTGTCTCGGCCGCAGCAGAAAGAGCCGCAGTCGCCAGGGGCGACCCCCTGGCGAAGGCAGAAGTACAAGCCATCCCGACAAACATATTTGAGGTTGCGTACACCGAACGTAAGTGAAAGTACGAGAAGAAATGCCTCAGGATTCAAGACATCAAGAATGCCACCAATATCGCGACCTCTAGATCGGCGTACAAGTCGATGTTTGTTCAGAACGATGCAGGCGGAATTGGACGAACAATGTGACTCCGCCTTGTTCTTCATGGCCCTATGGGCGTCGAATCATTCAGCGTAGGAGCCTTCTCGGGCAATGCTCGGCGAGCAAGCCAGATATTGCTCGCCAGCGCGGCCGCGCGCAAGACACCATGGACAATGGCGTCCATGGACATCGGCCGGGCCTGCTCAAGGGGTCTGACTTACCGTGAGTTGGCAGAGGCAACGGGTGAGAAAGAGCGCATGGTATGCTTTGCTATTCTACCTGGTTCAGCCTCGGCGCCGCGCGCGCTGCCCGGTTTCGCCCCATGACGAGTCAAAGCGCTGTCTTCGATGTCTTGAGCCAGGCGCAGGC